CGCCAGAAGGAAAAAAGACAGATTTCCCGTCGCGTCTGCTTTCTAACATTCGGGAGAGTGCTGCTATTTTTTTCGGTGCTGTAGTTTTTTACCGGCAGTGGCGCTCCGTTTTGAAATATGGAACTAGGGGCCTAGAAATAAGGAAAATCCCCGTTGACGAGTGCCGCACAACCCGAAAATGCCCACGCTTACGTTCGCGACACGCATTCAACAGCGAAATCTTACTAAAAGCCAATCACCTCCAGAGGGTTTTATCATTATTGCCACATCGCCACTTTTGCGAGTGTATCAACGACCATATTGTTTTGATCATAAGCAGAAAACAGCCTGTAACATAACGGCGAACGTATGACGCTTCTATGTTGACGTCAATGCCATGGTGACTGAAGTAGTCTCTTAATAAACCTATTCCCACTTCTGCGCGCGTGCAACTCAGGAATTAAAATGTCTGGGGTCTTAAAAAGAGCGTGTCTGTAACCTGCATAAAAAGTCCTCAAAATGGCTATTTCACTTCAAGACCCCACATAAAGGTGGAACACCTCCTCTAAGCAAAAAGTGCGTTTATCGTCGCCCGTGGGTATTTTTGATACGTGCCGAATGGAGCCATTGACAAGGGGCTGTTTTTCCCCCTGTTTCGCCTCTGTCAGCTTTGGATATTGTCGCACAGACGCTGTTTTCCAGTAATCCATGTATTTCCGGTCGAGATGACGAAACGGCCATGACAAACGTCGCAGGCAGCAGAACGGTGTCGCCGTAGGATACTGGAAACACTACGGATAGCAGTACACATGCTCTTCTTTCGGATCCGGCGCTAACATTTGTAGCTTCAAACGACCTTCAGCTCCCTGTGCTGGTTCAGGCTAACCCGTTGACAGTCAGCTCTCCACCGTCGGCGTCCTTTCGGCATGCAGTGTCCGCCTCATCCGAGCTCGACTGGCAAGCGTTTGCCGAGGGGAACAGTCGGCTGCTCAGAATACCTGACGGGGAGCGCACGGCAGAAGAGCGGGCTGAGGTCAAGATCTGTTTGACCAACGGTTGCTGAAGCATCTAATCAATACCCGATGCCCAGAAAACGGAAAATCACGCTTGTGATAGCATTTGGTTCGTAAGTTGAGATGCCCATTCATTCAGTTTGCTCGAGGTGCGTTTTTCTGTTAACATATATGCAAAACACAACTGAACTGTGCTTGGCTTCGCCATTTCTTTAATGTAGCACTTGCACCAATTAGTTGATAGATTTGTTATCAAAGAAACAAAGTTGAACGGCGGGCGTGGTGTCACCGAACTGTTCCCACCAGTTTTGGGACAAGTTTCAGCTGCTGCAGCGGTTCTCGGAACACGTGCAGCCCATACGTCAGCCCACACGCATCAACAAACAACTGACCAGGCCGTCAGCGGAACTGGCTGGCGGGCGTGCGTCCGGCGACGGACACTCGTGGCACTCTGACGACCGACGGGCACTCGTGGCACTCTGACGACCGACGGGCACTCGTGGCACTCTGACGACCGACGGGCACTCGTGGCACTCTGACGACCGACGGGCACTCGTGGCACTCTGACGACCGACGGGCACTCGTGGCACTCTGACGACCGACGGGCACTCGTGGCACTCTGACGACCGACGGGCACTCGTGGCACTCTGACGACCGACGGGCACTCGTGGCACTCTGACGACCGACGGGCACTCGTGCGTCGTCGACCCGACCCGTGCAGCGTGCCGCAGCCGCGTATATTGTCCGATCGGGTCATCAACTGTCACGCAGCTTATTGACATGAACCCCTCGCGGTTCACGTAATAAGTCTTTCGCGGATTCGACGCTCGAAATAGGATGTCTGTCCCGTCCACGCAACCTGAAAACCGTCCGCCACCGTCCGCCGAATGCATTGTGTGTTACCTGTCTGCAGGTGTGAGCGTACATCTCTGGGACAATCGGAGGTGTGCGCAAAGCTACCACGTCTGGTTGAGTGTGGCTAAATAAGGCTTGGGCACATTCATGTTACTCGACGCTTCGAAACGCGAGAAATGTTTGAAGCAATGGTACAGAATGTTTTAACATGCAACACTGCAACACATGGAAGGCACCTTTGCCCACCCTGTGTTCTTGTACCAAATACGGGCTTTCTGTATGAAATTTTGCAATATTTTTGTTGTAATGGATTTCCATCTCTGCCTCGCAGCCTGCAGAGCACTAAACAAAACTGAAGCTACCACTGTCCACATTGAAGTAAGAATTTACACCAATACTAACCGATAACATTTGGCAGCCTTGCACTCTCGTAAAAGCCTTCTTGCACGGCAGCTATGTCTGGGTTTTTCATTCACTTCATTCATGTCATTGTAAATGTTTACAACCTTGACCCTGCGAGCAACACAAAACACAAAAGCGCGTATCAGCTTTCCACTATCACTTAAAATCTTACCTTAAGTCTTCCCAACTTGCCACTCCAAGTTCAAACAGGGCCTAAAACCTCGCCGGCGGCACGCCCTTTTATGGTCAACGTCGACTTGCAAGGACATCCTTCCAAGCTGCCTACGCGTAGAAGTCGCTGAACTTCAAAGTACGCACGCTACGGCGAACAATAAATGTATAACGGTGAAAACAACTAGCACAAATTCTGGATTAAACTACAACAAATAATCCAGACAGTAGGTAAAGAATACAGCACGCACGGTCCACTGGACCACGATCCGTCAGCAGTCAGTCAATGCATATATTGCTGAAGACCAGCGTCACCCACGGTCAATGGGATATGAAACACGGAATGATGGGATGATTTTTACAGCATTTGTTCGACAATCGCTGCGCATTTTCTTTTACGTTTCTCGTCACGCATTTTATTTATAAACCTCGGATACAAATCGCTCGCGAGAGCGGAAGATTGTCAAGGACATTTTTTGCTCCAAGTTTTATAAAACTCGGAGTAGAAGTTCTGGAAAAGATTCCATCCGTCGACGGTATTTTTTATTTCATAAAACTGGCCTCTGATCATTTGTTCATGTCGGTTGACGTGCATCCAAAAAATAAAACAAGCAGGCTCAAAATCCTTTGATTTTTGTTCTGCACCAAAATGGAAACCTCCATGGAAATGCCTTCATGGGAGGGTGTGTGTGGTCGAATCTGGAGTTTTCGTTGTGCACGTAGCATTGTAGAATGCTAAATATAATTGGCATCCCTTGCTTCTGCAAATTCGGTTCCATTGGCCAGTTATTTCAAGTGCTCCAATTTTTTGCTGGCAGCACGAGGTTATCGGTGACCCCCCAAGTTTCTCACCACTAACTCACCGCTCATATCGCGAACATACCGCTTTCGGCGGCGAATGGCCTTCCGATTAGAGAGCCTATCAGCACTGGCAGCAAACCTCAAGCACTCTAACTACAGCCATGATGCAGGCATGCATTTGTTTACAGTTTCAAGGAAGGATTGAGAAGAGGCATTAGTACCACGGACGGAATAATTATTCCGACTGTTGTGCTCGTGTGGCGTATTTGCTTGCGTAATCTAAAAAACCAGACGAGAGGAGTAGTCAAAACAATTAGTCCATCCCAAACGCATTTGCTTCCATCGAGATGGGCGTGCGCGCCACTCTCGGCCGGCAGCTCATCTTAGAGATTTCTTCAGAATGTTTAATTATTTTCAGAATGGCATTTGGCGCTGCGAACACGGATAAGTGTCGCATATGACTTTCCAGGCCGAGGCAAATCTCTGGATTATTTTCAGAGCTTGGTCAAGACGGGAAATCTTTTCTTTGCCATTCATAGCTATAATCATTTGTTACCCTCGAGGAAACGCTTAGATAAATTCAGGTCCTGCCGAACGTAAATGTAAAAGATCCGCAGTTAATTATCAAGAGGATGATAATGTGCTGAATGACACTGTCACGGCCGATTGGTTCCTTTTTTGTTTAGAGGTGGTATCAGTGCGGTAAATATATTTCTAGTTAATTCCGTTCGGTTCATGAAAGCATGGTTGGTAGACACGATTATCATTACTTATTGAAATAATGGTAAGCTAGCGTAATCAGGTGCGGCACTCAACCTTCTTGGCTTCTGACAAATGTGTGACACAGGCCACAGAGTTTGACATCAGACAATGCACCATATTTGTACGTTTTTACATTGCCTTGGCTTTGCATGTCTGGGTATTATTACAGTAATCTAAAAGGACCGTCTATACTTGGGACATCTCCAATTTAAGTCAAATTACATTTGTGTTGTGTATCAGTAAACTGTAATGCTAATAAACGCGATTTTGATGAGTTAAATT